AAAGTTCGGCCCATCGCTATGCCATGTTAGCATCGTCCTCATTGTCAGGTGTGCCGATTTGCTTACCTCTCCGCCCTTCCAGCGACGGATGTAGACGTCCTTGATGGAGTGCTCCAGAGCCCACTCGTGCCACTTCCAGCAAACTGATCGTAGAGTGGCAGTTGCGTCCCACTTGAGGAGCTCTGGCGGGACCGGACCTCTCACATAGCGCTGGAGCTTGGCCCTCTCGAGAGGCAGTGGCGCCTGCTGGAGACCAAATGTATACGTGGGGCCATCACGTATATTGGCCTTGGTGACCTCCTCAAGGATCTGGGTGAGTACTTCGTAGGGGAAGTCGTTGATGTGCATTGAATGATTGACGGTATTGACGGTAGGGTGACTCGTTGTCTGGTGGTGTGAGAGCAGGTGAGGGATCCGTGGGTTTATGTATTGGTGACAGGTCAGGCAGTTATTCCAGAGTGAAAGGCACTCCGGGACTCTTATAGTCAGGCAGCATCTACCGCAGAGATTTATTTGGACAAAGAGCACCGTGGTTCATTGTTAGTCAGACGTCTTGTGTCTTCCCCAGGTCCATGCACAAGCGCCAACGACTCGGACGCTGGGCCGACATGGCTCTGAGCTAGAAGGATCACTTCACAGCCCAACCGAGCCAATAGGGCAGTAAGCAGCACGTCGCACGCGTATAGTTTTGCGATGGAAAGTGGTTGTGAGGTTAGGTTCTCTTTACGTCACGGTGGCTTGGCGGGCTCGGGTTTGCTGGGGCGGCGAAGCAAAGCAGAAAATTGGCTTCACGTGGCTCGTGGCTGGCGTTTCGATTACCCCCAGGAAATTCAATCCGCAGGCCACCTGACCACCAATGACACATGGAAATCTCTGACGAGACCCTCCGACCATCTTTCATCATCCCCGTGCCTGCATGGCGCCTCTCTGCTGGGTCCAACCTCCGTTGCTTCCATGCTGTCGCGTCGCGTCGCCTGGTCGTGATGCCGTACTCACGCCTCTTCTCACGACATCTCAAGCGTGTGGCTTGCTGTACCATATTACATCCGACGCACCGGGCACTTTGAACATCTCCGCTTCTCCAGGCGTTTACGGCTGCGGCTGCGGGTGTCGCCATCTATGTCATGTCTCGCACCTTCTGTCGTCAAACTGCCAGCGTCTTAGCCAACGTCGTATGCAGCACAGCACATACGCGACCAGCCTTGCAACACCCATTTCCGTTGAAAACCACGAATCCAGAACGTGCTGGATTTTCTTGCTCGCCATGCAAGGCACGTCGCACGCTATGCCATACGCACAACTCATGTCATGACCTTCACGTCCAAGTGGATCGTGCAAATTCTCCTCCTGCATGGGCTCATCCTCCTGGTGACACGTATTTTCCGGTCTGTTGCATGAGTTGGAGCTTAGGCCTCTCACCATCGTGTCCATCTGGGCTTATTTGGTAATATCTTACGTCTTCGAAACTTCCCCGCTATGCGACTTCTCCACAACCAAGAATCGATACCGTTACGGGAACTACTCTAGCTCACCACTTGAGCCGAGCACACTACACAGCGATTCCCAAACAGCGGAAGTAATCAGGGTACGAAGTGCTGACATTGATTAGAATGATGCAATCGCTGACGGCATATTCGACGGGTGTTTGCGCAAACGAGCACAGCAGACCGTTCACTATATCGACTGTGCCTCTCCACAGCACCCCAGTGTCCATCTCCTTACCCCTAAATTCCTTTCTCGGTTTCTATGAGCTAAGGAAATACGCTACCCCGCAAAGATCTCAAAACCCCTGGCCAGCTCGCTTCCACGAAGCTCATCTAGCTCAGAGACGATCACACCGGCAAGCTAGGCTTCGGGATAGGCATTCCGTTTCCACTAGAGCATCGGCTTTGCCTGTTATGCCGCTGCGAGCCTGCTCGCCCATGGATGCCGGCTTCGCTGTTCGTCCGGCTGGACGTGCGCCACCGATACCTAGGTAGTCACGGGGCTGTACGACTCAGCTGACATGGTCCTACCCAGCGCTAGGAGCCGCAACACCACCGAGCAAGTATCGTGACCTTCCTTTTTCGCCCCTGATTCAAGAGGTGCTTCATGCTGCCACGTCGGTGCCTCCCGGATGCTGAGTCGGTCGTAGTGTCCGTGCTTCCCGGTCGGTGCGGTGGCAGCGCATCAACAGCATCACACGACGTTCTGACGATCAAAGCAGTAAGTTGCCGTTCTGGTCCTGGTTGCCAGCAACATGACTGAGCACACGCCGGGTGTTCCAATCTCCTAAACGGCCGTCAAGCTCCCTGCTGGCATCATGCTGGACCTCTAAGCTCGCCGTATCCTATCTTGAACAACGGGAGATGTCTCTCAGTGCTACCTATCGCAAGATACGCTCATGTACGCAAGGCTTTATTGTAGTAAGCCCCAGAGTACAGCTCTAAGGAACTGCGACCCTACTATTGCCTGTAGACCTTCAAGCCAAATGCTAGCCTTGAATAAGCTTTCGATCCTTATCTCACAGCGCTGAGGTCAAAGGTAGCTCAAAACCACCATTGCACAGGATCTCTGTACAACTACAGGCAATTCGCAGTAAGACTAGCACCCGCAACGTAGCATTTTCATCAAACGTAGGTGCAACACGAGATAGGGACATCGGGTATCGGGAACACGAAAGAGCCTCATGTACACGGCTTCCCGTTGTTGGCGCTGTATCACATGAGATAGGGACGCGCCGTGTGCATGTATTCACGGGGAGTCGTTTGTGCAGTACATAGCTTTCCATAATGCAACGTGAGATAAGGAGACTGGATGTTGAGGGCGCTTCATGCAAAGCACTCAGTCCGTAGCTTTCAAGGAGATGAGTAGAGGTGCAAGACTATCGGATCAATATACCAACTCGTGATCACCCGTCATGATTATCCATCACCATAACAGAGAGTGTGCCGAGTCTATAAACACAAAAAAAAGATCAATGGGGTATCTAATCAAACAAGCAAACCACACATTCCCCAAACTTAATCTCTACTCCCCTACCGCCGCCTCGCCCCCAAACTCTCCACATTATTCGCATGCGCAAGCAAATATTTACAACATGTCAATGTATACTTGCACGCCTTCGTCCATCCCTCATCTTTATTCAACGCCAACTTGATACTCTGATCATGAATGCGATCTTTCTGTATCTCATACGGCATCTTGACGCCGCCTGGCGGTCCGCCTCCAGGTGCCGCTATTCCAGCACCAACACCACCACCACCTGCAACGTGCGACGGCGCAGCAGCAGAGTTCTCCACAAACTCACCCAGTTGCCGTAGACATTCCAAAAACGCAACCATAGCCGTATCGAACTTTCTATGTAGAAAGCCAAAATTGATAGGGAAGTCGCCGGAGGAGTAGAGCTCGAGTTTCTGTCTTGTTACTTGGGGTGAGTTAGCGCTTGTGGATTGTGGTTGGCGTGTCGATTCAGACACTGTGTTTCCGGTGCCGCCTTTGGTTTCGATACGCGTAATGGTGGATGTAGAGCCCATGGGACAGAGTTCGTAGCCGTCGAACTTGTAGTTTAGTCGGTCGGCTAGGGTGGCGAGGAGGAGACAGGTTTGGCCCCATGCAGCGTTGATTTCGGGCCAGTCGACGTACGGGTTTGGCAGGCGGCCGAGACGGAGGCCGTTGATGGTGGCGAAGTGGTTGTCGTGGGTTATGTTGAAGGTGTCGTTGTACACACTTCTTCTTTGTAGCTGGTTCAAGATTTGCGCATCGTGTGCGTACCGCGTGGCTAGAGCGTCGCGGTCGTTTTGGATAGTGGTCAAGGTAGTGTTGAAGGCGTTTCTGCTCTTCCAGAACTCGCTTTCTTCTTGGTCGAGGATCCGGCTCTCGACTTCTAGGGCGGCGAGCTGGGCGTCTAGTTCGGCCTTTTCGGCTTCGAGGTTCTCGAGCTGCGTGATGGCGGTGCTTTCGGCTTTCTTGGCTGCTTTGAGGGCGGCTTCGGCGGCTTTGACTTCTTCGGCGCTGGGCACGTCGGTGTTGGCGCGGCGCAGGTAGTCGACGTATGCGTCGCGTTCGCGGGTCGCTACGCCTAATCGCTTCTGGAGGCCTTCGATGAGCAGCTCGGTACATTCTACGCATATAGGGTGGTCGACGTCGGAGCGTGCTGATAGTATCTCGAACATGCGGTTTGTTGTTTCCAGTGTGTCGGCCAGACTCGCGCCTCCCTGTATGCCCAGTCCATTTGAGAAGCTCTTCCGGCGTGTCTTGTCATTCGCGTTCGGCTTCGTCTCGCCTGCTTGTGGTTTCCGATCTGGGCTACGGACGGCTGAAGAGGGTGGGTCTATCATCGACTCGGACATGTGTACGTCGATGAAGGACATGGCGGGGTTTTGGGGGCCATTTGAGAGCCCCGAAGGCGGTGCGCCTTGGATGTTGCGCTTGAAGGTCGGGTTCCTGGCGTCTTTGGCCGCATCTTGATATGTCTTGAGGTGTTCGGGCGGGTTCGGAGGGCGCGACTGGCGGTTGGGGGAGATTCTTGGCGCCGACTGCTGGCCTGATACCGTCGAGTCTGGGGTATGTTAGTACGATGTAGAATAGTCGTCATCGAATAGACATGTACCAGTCAATAGCTTAAAGGCGGCCGGGTTGAGCTGGTCGATGGAGGCGTCGATGTCTATGGGCGTGCGGCATTTCTGACAGGCCAGGGCCGTCTGTTTCTTGTCGATGGCCATGTTGTCATGAGCTATTGTTCTTCATGCTTGAAGAGAGGTCGTCTGTTCCAAGGCGCTGACGGAATGACGGTTGCGGTTCACTGGCGATCACCTGCATGCGGGTGGGGCTGCCGCTAAGTGTCGGGTGCCTGCCGAGGAAACCGCGTCGCGTCTCGCTGTTCGCGTCAATCACAGCATCACATTCACAAACTGTCTTACACGCAAACGCCCACCACCCACACACCTACCCCTATTCTACACCGCCTTCACGCTGTTTGAGACACATGCTTGCTGCTAAAGTGCGCGGCAACACGCGCCATGGAACAGCCGGCAAAGCGCATGCGCATACTGCAATCAGTCGAGGTCGACGAAGACAATGCCGAATACACCAAGGCCAAGCAGAAACAACAACAGAAGCTCAAAAGCCGATTTGAGTCTATATTTGAGAAATTTGGAAATATGAATCCATCTCAAAGCGACGAAATCGACTTCAACACAAACCGGGTGGTCGTGGATAGAGGCCATCTGCGGAGAATAAAGCGTCAAAGCAATGGCAAAGAGAAGACGTTGCTGGAATCAATTGTGATGGGATCTGGGAGCCATTCAGAGGACGATGAAGATGATGACGAGGAGAAGGGAGAGGGGGAAGATTCGGAGGACGAACTGGCACCCCCGCAGCTGGTCAAGCCCAAGACTGCTGAATCGCCCGAGCAAGACACGAGCAAACAACAGACCGCAGCCACAGACACCGATGCTCCACAGCCTGCAACATCTCAACAAGACTTGCCAACAACATCCATACCGCACTTCGGCACTCCACAAACACCCTATCCTCCGAATTCCACCGCAGACCTCCTACGCCAGGTTCAGTTTCCACAAACACCTGCGGGGCAGCAAGCACAAAACGCTTTTCACGCAAGCCTACTGCAGACAATCAATCAAGCGATACACCAAGCCGTCAGCGGGTTCATACTGCCGAACGCCCCAATACCCTTCGCAAACGCCGCACCTCCGCCGATTACTCCGATAACAACAGATGACAAAGTCGCGCCTGCGACGGACCCGAAATGGTTCTTTCCGCCTCTGTCTGTACAACCGCGCCAATGTCCAATCGCCCAGTCGAGTCCCCTCACAAGCTATGCGACGGCACCAATAGCGAAAGAGACCGATCAAGAACACTCCCACACTATCTCAATGGGAGTCGCCAAGGAAAAGTCTGCTGTCTCAATACGTACAAGACCGGATGAAAGCTCGCCAACGCGACCCCGTCGGACCAGTCCACGTGTTGAGATCCAAAGGCGCATCCCCAGGACTGCAAGGAAATATCATTTCACTCGCGAAGATGATGTGTACATAAGCAAGCGTAGGGCAATAGAGGGTGCATCGTGGGCCGGCATCAAAGACGGTCAGCAAAAGTGGAAGGAGTGGCCAATAAGCGCACTTCACAATCGCTGGAATGTGATCAAGAATCAGAATCTTCACCTGCAAGAACCTGCTGTAGCTCCTACGGGTTGTCACGTTGTCGGGGACAACCAGGTCTCCAAGGAACACCATCCCGACGTACCAAAGCCGCCGCACCATCTGCCGACACCAAGTTCATCCGAGCATGAAGATTATCATCAGAGCCTTGTCCGGTCCACAGAAGATGGTGTTCAGAATCTGCGATCGTCGAGCACGCATTATGATGACGATGAGCGTGATCTGTTATCTCTTGCTGGCGATGATTCCGACGAGGATCAACTCCCGGTAAACCACGACGACGACGATGCACTTTTAGACACATCAGGAGATGTGATACTGCCGTCCATCGAGACGAGAGATTTGATCGATGAAGATACACTACAAAGCGACTTGCTTGCAGATTTACCAACGCAAGACGACATCGCAACTCCAGTCCGGGAATCCTCCTGCATAGCAATAAAAGCCGAGCCGGCCTTCTCTTCGCCAACTACACTTCGAGTACGAAAGCATGCAACACCACTCGCCGAAGTGATACCCGACTCACAAGATACCGAAGAGGTGTTACCGGACGACCTCGCCCAACCATTCCCTCAAACTATCGACAACAAATCCTCGGGAATTTTCAACCCCGCCACTGTCCAACAACAAAATCAGCAAAACACGCATGTCAACTCCCGCCGGAAAAGCCCATCCCTCGACCTCATCGGCACCTCCGCCGACGACGAACTCCTCCCATCACCGCCCAACCCAACAACTCCATCCTTGAACCGTGCCCACGAACCAGCTACCCCGCAAACCGCTATCCCCTTCACCACATACCAAACACCCAAAGTTCGCAATGCCGACGGCAGTAGCGACAAAGGCAGCAAATCCACATCGAAAGCCGACAGAAAGGCCTTTCACAAACGGATCAAGAGGGAATGGACGAGGAAAGGGACACCAGCGAAGGACAGTGCGGCGAAGAGAAGGAGTTTGGGAGGATTGGAAGTGAGGAAACGGAGATGGGTGGATGTTGATGGGGACGGGAGTGAGGATGAACTCGCTAAGTTTTGATCGTGGGGAGAGAGGGGTAATAGCTAGAGCTGACAATGATTCTGTTTGGTCTATCTATATCGATGTCTATACGTACAAAATACACTTACACATCTAATCCTTCTGTTGTTGATCCGAAGACTGACTAGCTAGCTAGCATCGATCCTACCATTTCATACCTCCACCTCCCCATCCCTCATCCGCATCCTGTCCCCACGTTCCCATTACTTCCTTCTCCTTCCTCTCCTTATCTCCCTCCCAGCCTACTTCCTTAACAGCCGCACTCTTCGCTTTCACACTCGGATCTCTCGAATGCCGCTCAACCCACTGTTCCGTGAAGTCCTTCACCCGGCCGTCGCCATGTGCATCCGTTTTCTCACTTGACCTCCTCTGCTTCTGCTTCTGTTTCTCCTTATCGGCGTGGGTCTTACTGTGCTTCCTCTCCTTCCCACCATCACCCGCAACCGTAGTACCCTCCCCATCATCTTTACCCTTCAACTTTCTCTCCAAAGCCAACATCTTCGCAATGAGTTCCTCCTGCGGTATGCCTTTCAACTTTTCTACCTCCTGTTTCTCCTTCTTTCCATGTTCATAATGCTTCATGTCACCCTCCCCAAGCACACCCAACCCCCTCAACACCCCCTCACTCCGATACTTAAACCGAAACACCGCATACGGCTTCTCCAACCTATCCAGATACTCAGGTCGACCAACTACATGACCGTACTCCGTTGCTTTACCTGCGCGCACGGCGTGTTCGATACCGCTTTTGCTGGATGTGGATTTGCTGATGGTGAGGCGCGGTTCTGCGGGTGCGATGTATGTATCGTTCGGGGAGGAGTGATGAAGGACGTTCTTGGGTGTAGAGGTAGATGGCGCAGGAGGGAACTGCCAGTGCGGTTGCGCTGTGAAGTTTGGCGTGGGTTTGGGATGGATGCGGGAGGGGAAGTTGTGATTGGGTCGGTATCTTGAGAGGGTCTTGTTGCTCATGCGTTGAGAAGGCAATCTGCCTTTCTCCGATGCCGGGGCTGGCGGTGCTGGAGCGGAGGCGAAGGGTGTAGGCGTTGGCTGTTGAAGAGTGGGCTTTACGGCGTTGTCGGCGGGGAAGCTCCATGATTGGGTTGGCCAGGGGGCTTCTGGTGCTGGGGTTGGTGGGTTGGCGAAAGCGGATGTCAAGGCGGATTTGAGACCAGCCCAGTCGTTCATCTTGTCGACTCGCTCTTGTTTTGGTGAGGATGGGGGGTTATCCCAGCCGTGGTCTTTCCTGTTCCAGTCACTGCCCGCCTGGATCTTCTTGTTGCCATCGGCCTCGTTCCAGCCTCCGGCCTGATCATCATCGGTTGAGTACCAACCCTTCTTGTCGTTCTCCTTGGTGTTCTTTTCTTGCCAACCGTTCTCAGTATCCTTGCCCCAGCCGAGATTCTTCTCAGTTGCCTTTCCCCAAGAAGGTTTGTCGGTGTGATCGTTCTTGTCGTTACCCCAAGACGCAAGCGAAGATGGTCGATCACCTCCCAGTTTGTCACCAGCTGTGCTCTGAACAAATTCCTTCATCGACGGTGCGTACGGGGCTGGGAAAACGTTACTTGGAACGTTGCTGGGCTTCCTCATCGCCTCATGAACAGCAGCGTCCCACTCTGGAGTGGCCATTACCGGAGCAGGCGGACCAGCGTAAGCAACAGGATGCTGTGATCGCGTTTGTTCTGGGGCAGCAAAAGGAGGTGCGTTCATCACGGTCGGTGTCATTCGCGTAACGACTGAGGGCGCAGGCCCAGCGAGTTGAACTTCATCCGCAGGCCTCGAAGACGGGTGACGATGGGAATGCTTCGATGGCTTTCGCTCATGATCGCGCTGTACCGACTTTGCACGTCGGGAACGACTCTTCGACCTCTGTCGTGAGGGCTGTACCCGGCTTCGAGAACGCGATGGCTGGAGAGTAGCGTCGGAGCTACTCAGCGAGACCACAGAGTCTGAAGGCCGTTCGAGACGATCCCAGCTTCCGCTATCTTCTTCTGAAGAAGTGATTTCTCGATCTCGGCGTGAACGTCTTGACCGCGATTTTGAACGCGAACTTCGTTTCGTTTCGTGCTTTGAGCGCCGTCGATCGTGTTTAGGAAGAGTGACTGGGGAGCTAGGCCGCAGATGATAATGACTAGGAGGATTAGTCACCCAGAGTTTTCCCTGTTGACTGGAGGCGTCCCATTCAGCTGCCTTGTTGGTCGGCCAAGTATCTCCAGTGTCCCAGGTATCGGACGGGGTGTCTTCCCGCGCGTTCCATCCGCCGAAATTGGAGGAGTCGGTCTCGAAAGCAGGCTCAGCGTTCCAGGTAACATGGGTTCCCGCTCTACTTCGTGGAGGTCGTTCGCCCCAGCCAGGCTGTGGCTTGGCCCAGTTTGGACCGTGCTCACTCTTGTGTTCGCGTGAGGAAAAGGCTGGCTGCTCTATGTGTTGATGTGGTTGTGTTGGAGCATCGAATGGAGATTCGGGCCATGCTCCTGGTGGTTGAGTTGCAGACTTCGCATCAATATTTGTTTCCTTGTACTTCGGCTGCCCTTCAGATTGTGTGTCCATCCGTCCTGACTCCTCCACTCCCTGCTTCACTGCCGTCGTAAGAAGATTGTTCAACCACATCGGATCCACGCTAGGAGGTTGCACCGCTCCGACATGAGGAGGATGTGTGTTATATAGTTCTCCGTCACGCGGGATAGGACCGCTACCATACTGAAACCCTGACGGAGGAAGGTCGTTGGTGCGCCGCGCCCCCGGACTGATAGGCTCTGAGTATCTGGAATGTGGCCGCGAGTGGTTTACGATAGCCGCCGGAGGGAAGAGCTCCTGAGCTCCATATGTAGTGCGATGAGTTCTCGATGTCGAGCCTTGCGGGCTACGTACCGTTTCGGCGTATGGCGAGCGATAAGACGGGAGAGGCGGTGGTGGACCATGGCTATTGCCAAAGTTGCTGAAGAAGGGGCCACGATCATCGTACATAGACCTCTCGTTAGATGGCGATGAGCTATCGTCTATGCCAAACCGGTGATCTGGGAAATCTCCTGCTCCATCAAAGTTCATCGTTGAGGCAGATTTGGCATTGCGCGTACCGGCGCATCGTAGAACGACGACTTCGATGCAGCCTATGTTGTCGAGAACGTTTGGCGAACAAATATTCGGTGCATCGTCCGCTGAAGCTGCGCACAGTTAGCAGACTGCGGTTCTATGAAGTCCTCGCAACACATACCAATGTTGAGTTTATCAAAAGCCCACTCCCTCGCAATCATCGACCCATCTTTTTGCCTCTCTTCCTTCTGCCTTACGCGAAAGTCGACAAGAGAGCGACTATCGGAAGGCTTCCGTAGCTTCAAATCCTGCCTATTGCGGTTGCACTGATAAACGCCGTCGACGTAGACGAAGATCGCAACCCCGGGAGCGATGAACTTGTTGGAGGTGAGGTGGATAGAGAAAGACTGTGGCTTGTTGGGTACAGGGACGAAGGTTTCTACGAACCCGTCGCCGTATATGGTGCCGAACTCTCGCAATGCTTGTTGGCTCCCGGATAGCTCGATGACGCAATTGAGGTCCTTTAGTGAAGGCATGGTGGGATTGACATTGACGAGAGAGCCGTAAGATCGCAGAGAAAAAGGAGATCGTCTGGAATTAGTAGACGGGTCGCTAAGCTGTGTGCATGGGGTGTAAAGCGAGGGCTGGTTGTCACAGTGACCAAGAAGATGTGAAGTGGAGGCAGAAGCTCGAAGAGAGCCAATCGATCGCGCCCAGACCACGAAAGACCACGTGCAGAACCCTCACATTACTTTGGGATGGATTTCTTGAAGACGAAGGCAAGGCTTGATGTACAAAATGCCTTGGGTGGAAGAACTTATCAAGTACTCAATAGTCGGCAACACCGAGATGCGACATCGGGCACCCACCCGCTCCACAAACACTCTACCTTCACTTTTTTCGGGCTGCCACACGAAGTCATGAACAACGTAGCTTGAATCCACGTGTAAACACCATCATTCCGAGTACGTGCTCTCTCGTTCGTTGCGGAGCCTGTGTCCTTGGCTGATGCGGATCGACATGCGTATGCCATCTTGAACACAAACATTGCTGTTATGTTTGGCATATCCAGTATGCACCAGACATCACTCCAGTGAACAACATGAAAGCCATCGCAATCATACCGTATACCAAAGCACAATCTCAATGACCAGCCCGGATCATGACCAGACCGCAGTCTGAGTAAGCTCAATTCTTAAGGGTGGGTGCCACACCTCAGAGCTTCGCCTGGTCCGCATACCTACACAGACATACACAACAGGGAAAGAGAAGAAACCTCCACCACCACCCCACCTCCTCCCCTCCGCCTCCCCTCCGCCTCCCCCACCCACCCAGGAGAAGGAAACGTCGGATGAGGATGCGATGACGGAAGTCGCGCCGGTCAAACGAGCAGGCACGACTATCAGCCCGATTGCTGCCCAAGCTGTGCTTGTGCGCAGTGCATCACTTTTATCGACTTGTATCAGTATCAAAGTCACCAACACAATCACCAGCCAAAAGTGCAAGCGTAGTTATACATCTTCAACTTTCAATTTCCTCCCTTCCACACACCCATCATCAGGTATGAAGGAAGAGACTTTGCTTGCTAGCTAGCTACAGCTCGGGGATATCAACAGAGGAAAAAGCCCAACCTATTCACAGCCTTTAGTTATAATCCCGAATCCCTTTTTCTTGGCCAAACAATGGAAAAGCAGCCGTGACCCAGATAGAGAAATGACACTGTCTTCCAACGTCAGAGATGAGAGCTTTCCTCTTCTTGCCAACCCTAGCCTAGCCCAGCCCAGGTACACCAGTACCGGTAAATTAGACTTTACGTACACATGAACTTCTTCGAGAGTCCAATCAAGATAAAGGAAAAGGAAAGGAAATGGGCGGCCCATGGGCACACCGCACAAACGCACAATGGTATAAACAAAGGAAACGAATGGAAAACCGAACCCGGAGAGACGAAAAAGGAGAGGTAGGTGGTACATCGACATGTCGAAGATATTCGATCAAAAAGGCGGTGGTCCAAAACAGGTAATGTCGCTGAAGCGCGGGGTGGCCAAAGTAAAGAGTAAGAGCGGCCAAGCCTATGCGCCGGGCAAAGGTGATTTCGTTAATATGGGGTATTCGAAAGGCAAAATGTTTTGACCTCCAAAGCGTATGCTCAAACCCAGACGCCGTGCGCGAGAAGAGATTGTGAAAGGAAAGGTTCGTGGACACATGTACAAGGCGAGATGTTGGTGGGATCAAGCCATAGGAGGGAGAGGTTCAGCCGCGCTCTTCTTGCGGCCGAAAATGGTGCGAGTCCTGCTTTTGTCGCGGGCCTTCTTGTCTTTGGAGTGGTCTTTGGTGGTGGAACGACCTGAGCGAACGGACCGCTCATCCGAGGTGGTAGATCCGTCGTCCATGTATTTGTCTTTGTAGATCCAGCTGTTGCCCACCATGCTGACGCCCTTGGCTTCGGCTGCGCGATAGAACTTGGCTGCCTTCTTCATGTTCTTCTTGCAGCCGACGCCTTCGGCATAGCAGTAGCCGGCTTCGACGAGAGCATCGGCGTCGCCCCAGTTTCCAGCGATCTCGTAGCATCGCAGTGCGAGGGACTTGTCTTGAGGAGCACCCCAGCCGTTTCCGTAGCATTTGCCAAGCTCGTAGATGGCTACAGCGTACTGAGCGCGGTGGCGCTTCTTCTTGGTGAGGTCGGTCGGCTGCCCGTGCTTTGATTGGTCCTCATCGTCGGCTACTTCCAGCTGACCGGAGTCAACGGCGCGGCGTAGCCATTGCAATGCTTCGGACTTGTTCTCACGCATGCCCCAGCCGTGACGGCAAGCGAGGCCATACCAGAACATGGCTTCTGGAAGACCAGCGCGAGCTGCGAGTCGAAGGTGATAGGTGGACTTCAGGAGTTCACCAGCTTCGTGAAGCTCCAGTCCCATGTCGCAGTGCTGCTGCGCTGTGACTTCCCCAACAGACCCGGCTGTCCGCGCGCGGATAGTGCTGTTGCTGGATGTGAGGGACGGGGTACCGTGGTCGAAGGAGGCATCCCGCCTGGCTTGTGGCTGTTGCTGGCGTGTTTGGTCGAAAGAACGAGGTGGTGATTCGGGTGAAGGAGGTCGCGCCTGAGTCTGGTTAGGCTGGCCTCCGGGCTGGTCCCATTTGATCTCGCGTTTGAAAAAGTCCTCAATGCCGACAGACTTGCGGTCGACGGCCCTGCCGCGAGGGAGGTTGAACCTGGTGTAGGTGTAGGACGGGGCTGGGTTGTTGCCGAACTCGCCGGACCGACGGAAGTCCTCGCTTACCATGCTGACGGGAGTGTGGACCTGCTCGTTGGCGTAGTGAGCAGTAGGGATATCGTTAGAGTCCTGTCGACGGAGCTGGTCGTCGAAGGAGGGCCTCATGTTCACGCTCTCCTCAGACGGCTGTCGCGAGGGTCCAGCATCTGACCTTACGTCTAATGACGGACGCACGCTCTGCCGGCTTGTGGGGCGTGAGAAGTTGGGTCTCGAGAAGTTGTAGGCGGGGCGCGGGAGACTGCCGCCGTCGACCGAGTAGTTGGACGCAGCTGACGGTGATCGGGGAATCATGGTAGGACCAGTGGCAGGCGTGAAGGGAGACTGAGCTCTCGACAGGCTGGAGCTGGGAGACAGGTTGCGCGTTTGGTGCAGGGAGTCGTAGGACCCGCTGAGGGACATGTCCTCGACATCGTCGTATGTGCCAGCGGCGGAGCGGATGCTCGGTGAGCGGTTCGAGTGCAGGGAGCTGGATGAGCGCGGTGGGAGCAGGTTGGAGCGAGGTGCCGAGCGGGGCTGCGATTGTTGCGAGTGCTGGGAATGCTGCGAGTCGCCAGAGCGCTTCCTCTGCGGGCTGAGGAACATGTGGGAGGTAGGAGCGGCCGGGAGATGGGGACTGACGGGCGTGGCCTCGCGCAGTCCGATGTGTGGCTCTACCGAATCGGGGGAGCGCGACCTGGGGATGTCGAAGTAGCTCTGGGGAGGCGTCGCAGGACTGGCTTCGGCGATGGTGGCCATGGGGCTCTGCAGCGGCCCAATGGCGTACTGGGGCTCGGGCTCGTCCATGCCAAACTGCGGGTAGTAGGACTGGTGTCGCTTGTCCGACGATATCTCCTGGCGGGGCGAGGCCTCGGGGCGCGGGGAGCGGACGGGGCCTGCATCTTCGTTGGGCGAGTTGACGGTCGAGTTGGAGAGCGACGAGAAGTAGCCGCCGCGGTTGCCGAATTCATTCTGGATGGTGAGGGGCGCGAGGCGACTGAGGCGGCGGCCCGTCTTGTCCTGCTGCTCGAAGCGCTTCGCGAGCAGGCGGCCCTGGAGGGCGAGGGCATCCAGAGGGGAGAGGGCGGGCGGCGCTTCGCCGGTGCGCGGGCTGGGCAGGTCGGAGCCGAGGGACAGATTGCTCATGCTGGCGCTGGCGAGGTTTCCGAGGCCGAGGTGGTTGGAGGTGAGCGAGCTGGCGGTGGTGGGAGGGTCGAAGGACTGGGAGCGGAAGTCGAGGCCGCCCGGGCGTTGGGTGCGGTTTGCCATGGTGAAGGAAGTGGCAGGCGGGCTAGTGGTTCATGGAATGTGCGGCGGAAGATTGATGACGCTGGGCCGTCATGCGCGCGACCGGGCAAAAGAAGCCGTCGAAGCCGCCTGGAGGGATGAATGCGGGAGACACGGGGCTGAGCAGCGCGTGCGGGAAAAGCAGCCGTGATAAGAGCGGTGGGTGCTATGGGGGGTATTTTGGGAGGGCGTGGATGCAATCGGCACCATGGAGAATGAAAGCAGCGCGAAGGAGCGGATACGACAGCAAGCGTCGAGAGATCAGTGATGGACTGCAGGCCCTGAGCAGTGTCTGGGGCGTCGCGATGTTCTATGCTGCCTCGCGTGCAAGAATAGCTAAACCTACACCTCCTGAAACTTCAGGTGGGCCGGGGATGCTCCCTGCTCGCCAATAGGGTCCGCTACCACCAGTCGGCCCTGCATCGCGACGACGTTGACCCACCGCGCCGTCGCCCTGACACGCAGCCACTCGATGCACGCATGCACACTCATCTCTCGCGCGCTGACAATGCCATTGCTTTTCACATCTCCATGCTCCCAGCTACCAAACTCTCATTTCCTTCACCCACTTGCTATCGTGTACACCATCGCCTCCAGCTGCCTCCATTACATACCTCCCCCAGTGCCGTTTCACTAGTCTATCCGCACGCCATCCGTATTCCCCTCTCGGCCTGCCTCCGTTTCGGGCGCTGGCCGTCAATAGGGTGGCACATGCTTCGCGTCACTTCATTTGCTCATGGCACTTGTGGAGCGGAACATGTTCCAGACTTTTGCTCATTTAACTGCTGCCCGTCCTGCGAACCACTGTTCCTGCAACGCTTCACGTCAAGAGCGTGCTGTTTCTGCCTATATCGCCGTGACTATATACCGCTCGTCGACTGGATTCTCTGCGTGCCTGCAAATCTAACCATGCAGGGAACACTCGCTGAGACCCGTGCCGGCAAGGGGCTCAGGGTCTTTTACGTGATGCCATCTGCCACTACGCTCGCCCTGCGTGC